AACGTTTTTCAGTAGAAAATTTTGAAGAAAAGCAAAAGAATGCGTTCATTCCCTTCTCGAAAGGAGTTAGAAATTGTATTGGTAAGCCGTGATAAGTCTGATATGAATATATGCATTGACTATGATTTGTTTACAGGATGGCGATACGCTTTATTTGCAATAAAAATCTTGTTATGCGGACTCATACGAAACTATAAATTTGAAACTGATTTTAAATTGGAAAGCTTAAAATGCACCACTAATATAACATTGAAATACATATTAGAACCTAAATTAAGGTTGACTAAGAGATCCTGAAGTATTATAAAGTAATTTCGCTTGCATATACAGATTATAAATGGAATTAAAATAAATCAACCTTTCTGGAAACGAACCTTTGTAATTAATTCAATTCATGTTGGTTAAATAAGTTGATTTTTTAAATATACTCCAGTTTATTCAAAGAGAGTATGCTTAATGCAATACTTTATGTGAAAAATTTTAAATTTTCTTAAAAAGTGTGAAATACTTTGGAGTTTGAGATACAAATCACTTCCCAAGAAATGGTTCCTAAGTAATGATTTTTTGGTGTGTTTAAATACTTTAGTGTGATATTTTGTACTACTCATCACCGGTCCGTCATGTTCGATGAAGTATGAAGCTTTCGCCTTACTCTCAACTTCAGTGCTCCTTAGTTTCCGTCTTACCACATGCCTTTCAGTACTTTTGGCAGAAGTATTGATAAATTTTCTAGGCACATATCTGTTCACTGCATTAACTTTGAGGGTTCTAACGATGTGTCACTTATCGTTATTTCCTTATCTTACATATTATGACTATGAGTTCATTTAATTTAGGGTTCAAATTAAATAATCAACATTCTTATTTGATTTAAAACTAGTTAGAAGTCGAATATCTTACTTTGAGGAATCCAGAAAATAATTTTCGAATAATTTTTCTAATATCTAATTTAATAAATTTCAATGCATTATGTAAGTGACACACTTGGGCCAATACATTTAGTCTTCAGAAACCTGAAACATTAACTTGTTTACGTCGAGTGCAATCAACTCAATTTGATCTAACAAAAAAGAATACATCAATAATAATAAAAACATATTTTTTATTTGTAGAAATAATGTATACCATAATATTATATTAGTATTTAGTCTAATATGCATTTTGGCCTTGATTGAAATTTTGTACTGAATAATTCTTGATTTTTGTACTAAACAAGTTTGATCTTCTCTGATCTTCTTCTGAAGTTTTCTAAATATATTGGGAATAAATTCTAAGACTGAAGTTATTGTTGTTTCTTCAATTAGTTGAACAAGTATTCACAGTAAATAAATGGAAACAGTAGAAACGTACAAAGTTTTTAAATTCGTGTTTATATTTCTGCCAGTTATTTTATTCATACATTGGTTATGGACGCGAAGGAATCTTTATAAGTCAATTTTAAATATTCCAGTATTAGTCGGTTTCCCAATAATTGGCTCGCTACACAAAATGCAGCATTTAAATTGTGCGTTAAAACCAATTAATTAATTTCTGTTGGGAATAATTTAAATACGTATATGTAATAGAAATAATTTATTGTATTTAAGATATGTTACGCGGTTTTGGAAATATTTTTAAAGATTGTAAGCAATATACAATTTTATTTTGGATGGGATTTTATCCGATCATACTGACAGCAGATCCAGATATCATATCAAACGTTCTACGGTCCCAAGAATTATTTAACAAAGGTGAAATATTATAATACTCCATGCACAATGCATTTAAAGGCGGACTTATTTCAAGCAGAAGTGAGAAAAGAAAAAACCTGAAATACCTAAATTTTATAATAACAACTGAATGGATCCGCCATCGTAAGATGATTGATTAACCATCATTTACAAATAAAGTAATATTTAGCCCATTACGATCCGGTACCAGATGCCGTGGACCGATTTTGATGAAAATTTGAACATTGTCGTTAAGACATTAAGATAAATTTCAAATTTCATCAAAAGGGACCCAACCATTCTTGAGATATGGGATGGTAAGTTTACTTACCAATGGGGCAATGCGTATAGTGATTTTTTGTAAAAATAAATAAAATAAAAATAATAAATTTTCTATGAAATAAGTAAAAAATTGATTTAATTTATTTATATTTTATGATTTATTTTTATTTGTCGATATATGTTTTATTTATAGTATTAATATAATTTTAAAAAATACATAGTTTTAATTAATATGTTTTAAATATGATGCAAAGCAGTTTTGATACAAATGGGCTTTACTTTTACTATATTCAAATGGCGTGTGAGTATGGCACACAATGCACCGTCGAGGACCACCTTATACTTTTATGGAATAATGGACATTATTTTTAATGGTATTAAAATTTGAAGCAGTTGAGTCAACAACTATCACCGAATTTGAAGATGTTGGTACGGATGTCAATAAATCGTTGACAATGTTTACTCGAAACTGTAGTTGTGATAATGGTTTCTGCTTTTTATAAGCTGAAACTATAACAATCAGTTTCCAAGCATTCACCATTATATTACCTAATTAATTTATATACAAAGGTCACTACGATGTTTTTAATTGCACCGATACTCACCTTTAGCATTTATATCAAATATGCTATGTAATACTGATCAAACAAATAATATACCCACCTAACTGTTCAATAATTGTTTGTATTCTTTTACTTCAATATTTGCTGGTAATTTACCATAAAAGATGATTTTTTGTTCATTTTGGAACACCAAACTCTTTTAAGCTAATTTCCGTCTCATCGACTGACTGATACTGAAGCTCAAGCAGTCCAGCAATAGCTAATGAAACTAGAGAATGTTCATCTATGACACGCCATCAGTTTTCTCGGCATCACTAACTTCACCGACAATATGCGGCGTATAAACAGCATTGACTTCAGAGGATAATTGTATTCTCCTAGCTCCTTCATCATCACTATTTTCTGTTTCTAACATAGACATCACCTCTTCAAGTGTTAAGAAATTTTTTTTTTTTGGCATTTTTAACAACAACTCTATATATTTCGAACAATTTGTGAACTAAGAGTCTGGCACACATCAGTTCGGTAGCAAAACTTATTAGCTTTAATATGCTTGTTCACATGAAAAATCACTATACGCATCGGCCCGTAAAATTACTAGTGAACAGTACTCATAAATTTTAAGAATTTTGGGTCAATGTATTCGAATGAAAGGTATGGATATATAAAATAGGACTTATTGATTATTGAAATTAACAATTATTTTTTCAAATATTTTATTTCAATAATTTTTTTTATTTAATTAAAACCTTATCTAATTTCGGAGTTCAGTAAAAGTATCTCCCATTTGGATCCAGATAATTGGAATAGAATTTCCTTTAATCTGTTTTCTTAAAATTAACCATATATTCACACAAAAAATAATAAAAATAATATAAACAATAACTATTATATGCCAAGACATATACTCGATTAAAGTGCTGGTAAGGAAAATTACCAGTCGGGCCGAAATGCGATAATAAAGCTATAAATAATTTAATAGACAAATTTGGCGCGCTAGTGGATAACAAAAATCACAAAATATTAAATATGTTACAGACCTGGACTTTAGAAATAACTATAGGTAATAATGTCATTGCAACAATGACTGTAAGATTAATACTTTATTATCAGAAACGACTATGGTAAGGTGATGTATAAAGGTGACGAGATGTCGAACATTTGGGCAGTTAAGGTTTCTTTGTAAGTTTCTCAAGGAATTATTTCAATATCTAACTATTTTATATATAATTGAACTTAAACAATGTGAATACTGTCATAAAACTTACAATGATCCAAACGTTGCTTTGTAAAACTCGATTCAATACTGAATTTCTACATAAAATTCAGAAGAACGAAAGAAGAGTTATATTGAATCGTTTAAAATCTGTACTTATTGAGATTAACATCGAAATTGTTTCTTTCATTATTACTTAATTAATAATGATAAAATATGCAAATTTATAAATTCAGTTCTCAGATTGAGTGAGTATTTGGGATCGAGAACGTTTGTTTCACACAAATACACAGCTTTGAGTTCAGTACATCGAAACTTTAGGAACTTTAAGAAAAAAAAATATATATATGTATATTATTTCTATATACTATAATATACATGTTTATATATAATTAATATTAATATTACCAGTATTTGAATATAGACTACTGTTCCGAGGGCGTATACAGTTGAAACTGAAAGCAAAATGTCTCAACATGACTTGAACTTATAAAAAATTTTCTGTATTGAATTCGTCTTTTTTATATATTATATATAAGTTTATACGTATAATGTATTTATCACAATGAAATTACTTAGATTACTGAACGCAATCTTAAATTACAGTACGTATATGCTTATATAATATTAAAACCGACTATCGTGTAACAAACAGGGGCAAGAGATCAAAAAAATTGTACAATAAATTATGTTTTGTTGTACATTAATTCTAATAAGCTTCTAAGCAACTGGAGACGACAAATTATTTTTTTTTCGCAAATGACACATCCAAAGATCAAAAAAATGTATTACACAGCCATATTAAACTATTTGTAAAACTTAAAAAGATGACCCATTCAGCTTATGAAGAGCATAAAATTGTTTATTCTTCAACTTTAATTATTTTTACTTTTCGTATAAATTTCAAAGAACTTCTCCAGTCGAGAGTAATACAGTTTCTGAAATTGAACGAAATAGTCCGCGACTTATTCAAATGGAATCACTAAAAACATATGAAGTCTTGAAATCCGTTCTTGTAGTTCTGGTAGTAATTTTGTTGTTTCATTGGATTTGGACGCGAAGAAAAATATATAAGTTTGGCCTAAGATTTCCGATAGAATTTGGTTTCCCAATAATTGGGTCGTTACACAAAATAAGAACTGTAAACTGTAAGTGTTAATTATATTTATATATCTGTAATATATTTATATCTATTTTATTTAAGCTATAATAAGCGGGCTTGGACAAATTATGAAAGACTGCAAAAGTCATACCGTTTGCTGCTGGATAGGATTATTTCCAATAATATTGACAGCTGATCCAGATATTGCTTCAAGCGTTTTGCGCTCTAAAGAACTGCTTAACAAAGCAAAAACAATGTATTATCCACTAGATCTTACATTTAAAAATGGATTAGCTGCAATTCCAGGTAAAATACATACAAAAATAATTTGTGTATTCATATGAAGTTATATATAAAATATTTTACATAAGCAACTCAATGGGTCCATAATCGGAAGATGATTGATCCGTCGTTTACAAATAAGGTACTTGTAAGTTTCTTTCCAATATTTAATAAAGCCAAGGATGATCTGATAGAAAGGTACAGCGTTCTCGTGGATAATAAGGAGCACAACATTTTAAAGTCGTTACAAACATTGAGTTTAGGCATAACCGTAGGTAAAAAGGTGTTAACTGGTGTAGGTTAAGTTATAACAAAAATGATCAAATAATTTATTTAGAAACAACTATGGGTAAGGTGATGTACAGAGGTGAACAAGTATCGAAAGGCTTAGCGAGTATATATTCTTTGTAAGGTCATTTTGTAAAGTTACGTTAATATATAAATAAATAAAATTTCTATCACAGTGTGATGAATATTCTTTCGGCTGAAGTATTGATGTCTTTTTTGAAACTCGGTTTTATATTGGAGCTCTATCCTAAATTTAGAAAAAGGAGGGAACAAATATATCAGTTCGTGAATGAAGTTAGAATTTTTTACTATTACTTGAACTATATAAAACGACTAACATATATTTTAGTTAATTCAAGCTAAGCTAAAAAGAGATATAAATACAAGCAATAACAACTCAAATACGGAGACAAGTGATCTTAACAACATAGCCTCAAATTCTACAGTACCGTCAATACGGAAAGAACCAAAAATATTTATTGATCAAGCTATAAAATTATACCAAAATCAACAGTATACATGGGATCACATTATAAGTGAATCTAATACAATTGTTACAACGGTGAGTTACATGTTATAAATTTAATAAGAATATTATATATTAAAAAATTTTTAGTCATTCGAGACCTCTGCTAATGCCGTCTACTCTACTCTTGTCATGTTGGCAATGCATCCAGAGGAACAACAGCGATTATTTGAAGAAATTTTAGATGTGTTCCCAGAGAAAGACTTTTATGTTGACTTTGATCAATTAAACCAACTGCCATATTTGGACCTCGTAATAAATGAAACGCTTCGCTTAGCTCCTTCAGTTCCCGTAATAGGACGTCATGTTATGAAAGATACGCAAATCGGTGAACATAATTTTCCCAAAGATATTCAGATTATAATTTCAATATTTCATCTTCATCGGAGGACTGATATTTGGGGTCCAAATGCAGATAAATTTGATCCAGAACGTTTTTCAGTAGAAAATTTTGGAGAAAAGCAAAAGAATGCGTTCATTCCCTTCTCAAAAGGAGTTAGAAATTGTATTGGTAAGCCGTGATAAATCTAATATAAATATATATCTGATTGGCTATGTTTTGTTTACAGGATGGCGATACGCTTTATATGCAATGAAAGTCTTGTTATGTGGACTCATACGAAACTATAAATTTGAAACTGAATTTAAATTTGAGAACTTAAAATGCACCACTAATATAACATTGAAATACATATTAGAACCTAAATTAAGGTTGACTAAGAGATCCTGAAGTATTATAAAGTAATTACGCTTGCATATACAGATTATAAATGGAATTAAAATAAATCAACCTTTCTGGAAACGAACCTTTGTAATTAATTCAATTCATGTTGGTTAAATAAGTTGATTTTTTAAATATACTCCAGTTTATTCAAAGAGAGTATGCTTAATGCAATACTTTATGTGAAAAATTTTAAATTTTCTTAAAAAGTGTGAAATACTTTGGAGTTTAAGATACAAAACACTTCTCAAGAAATGGTTCCTAAGTAATGATTTTTTGGTGTGTTTTAATACTTTAATGTGATATTTTGTACTACTCATCACCGGTCCGTCATATTCGATGAAGTATGAAGCTTTCGCCTTACTCTCAACTTCAGTGCTCCTTAGTTTTACTCTCAACTTCAGTGCTCCTTAGTTTTCGTCTTACCACAGGCATTTCACTACTTTCGGCAGAAGTATTGATAAATTTTCTCCGAACATATCTGTTCACTGCATTAACTTTGAGGGTTCTAACGATGTGTCACATTAAGTAAGCTGTCTTCTAACACCTGTCTTTTCTAAAAAAAAAAGTGTACAATATTACTATAGTGGGCATTTCGTGTGATCGTGGTAAAGCTGAGTAGTCCGCGCTATCACAATATTAGCCATATTTCAGCCAAATCGGTTTTGCTGAAAAACGTTTCATTTTTATAAAATCTTCCAATTCTAACCGTATATATATTGAGCATAACAGTTGTTGCACCGTTTCGTAACCGAAAAAAAAACACGGATCGAGCTCAATACATTTGAGCCCCAGAAATAGTGAATGCATTGGACTTCTCCTACTAAAATGTGCTAAAGAAGGTTAAAGAAAGTCTGTCGCTCAGCAGACTGATTGCAACAATTATCTTGGGATACACACGGAATCATTTATACCCATTTCTTTAAAAGAAGTCAAACGACCACCGACGAGTATTAATTAGAACTCGGCATTCATCAAGCTAATGTGACCGCATATGGCGAACAAAAAGTACTCTTTAAACAAGATATTGGAAGTGCGCAGGTGTGTAGTCGTTACGTCACATGTTAATATTTTTGAATTTAGAAAAGTAGCTGGGGGCAATAAACTTAAGCATATTTTGAGACCTTTGAGAAAAGGTGTGGAATGGATAATCAAATTCAAAAATATTTGACTCTACATGTGGGACTAAAAGGAGAGATTATTGAGAAACAAAATGCTTATTGGTAAAATTATATTTTTTGATGAAAAAGTCACTGGATTAGCGAACTGTCTAATAGGTTCATATTTCAGAAATTAGTGCATTAAATTTTCCAATATTAATCGGCTTCCCAGTAATTGGTTCGTTACATAAAATAAGACGTGTGAACGAACAGTGAGTGAAAAATTTGATTAATAAAACAATACACTTTAATTTATAACAAAAAATCACAAAAAAAAATTTTTTTGTTTAAACTCTGTTAAGTGGTTTTGGCAATATTTTTAAGGACTAATATACAGTTTACATGTGGTTAGGATTGTTTCCATTCGTACTGACGGCAGATCCAGAAATTATTTCAAATCTCTTAAGCTCTTCAGAATTGATTAACAAAGCTGAAACTTTCTATCATTCCCTTCGCAATGCACTCAAAGGCGGAATTGTTGCAAGTAAAGGTAGGGAAGTGAAATAACTAAATAAGAAAAATAAAAAGTTATATTCTAAAAAAGCATATGAATGGACCCATCATCGAAAAATGATTAATCCCTCATTTACAAAGAACGTGCTTGTAAGCCTGGTTTTCAATATTTAATAAAGTCATGAACGATCTTATAAGAAAATGTGGCACACTGATGGGTAATAAGGAACACAAGATACAACATATGTTGGAAGCATTAACTTTAGTCATAACAGCAAGTGAATAAATTTTAGTTAATAGTGTTAAAACAACGATGTTGAAATACATTATTTATTTTCGGAAACAACTATGGCTAAAACGTTATACAAAGAGGAAGAATCAAGTGTCGCGATAAATAATCTTTAATGAAAATGAAAAGTTTTAATATGCGGACTTATTCGAAACTTTAAGTTTGAAACCGAGTACAAATTTGAGGACCTAAAATATACCAGCAGTATAACATTGAAATAAGTACTGGAACCCGAACTCAAATTGTGCAGAAAGCTATAAAGTATTTAATAATAGTGGGTAAATAAGATTTACAGGTATAAGATTCATGTAAATCCCTTGAATGTAATCAACGTTGAAATACATATATTAATAATTTATCTTTGGACACTTTTGACTTAATAAATTGAAAAATACAGCATAGTAGTAATTCAATTAATTTTTATTGATATTTCACATTTTATCTGAAAGTGTATATATTCCAATTAACATTGTGATTTTTGAGATATCGTTATTTCATTATCTTACATATTATGACTATGAGTTCATTTAATTAGATTTCAAATTAAATAATCAACATTCTTATTTGATTTAAAACTAGTTAGAAGGCGAAGAGCTTATTTTGAGAAAACCAGAAAATAATTTTCGAATAATTTTTCTAATATCTAATTTAATAAATTTCAATGCATTAAGTGACACACTTGGGCCAATACATTTAGTCTTCAGAAACCTGAAACATCAACTTGTTTACGTCGAGTGCAATCAACTCAATTTGATCTAATAAAAAAGAATATATCAGTAATAATAAAAACATATTTTTACTTGTAGAAATAATGTATACCATAATATTATATTAGTATTTAGTCTAATATGCATTTTGGCCTTGATTGAAATTTTGTACTGAATAATTCTTGATTTTTGTACTAAACAAGTTTGATCTTCTCTGATCTTCTTCTGAAGTTTTTTAAATATATTGGGAATAAATTCTATGACTGAAGTTATTGTTGTTTCTTCAATTGGTCGAACAAGTATTCACAGTAAATAAATGGAAACACTAGAAACATACAAAGTTTTTAAATTCGTGTTTATATTTCTGCCAGTTATTTTATTCATACATTGGTTATGGACGCGAAGGAATCTTTATAAGTCAATTTTAAATATTCCAGTATTAGTCGGTTTTCCAATAATTGGCTCGCTACACAAAATGCGGCATTTAAATTGTGCGTTAAAACCAATTAATTAATTTCTGTTGGGAATAATTTAAATACGTATATATAATAGAAATAATTTATTGTATTTAAGATATGTTACGCGGTTTTGGAAATATTTTTAAAGATTGTAAGCAATATACAGTGCTATTGTGGATGGGATTCTATCCGATCATACTGACAGCAGATCCAGATATCATATCAAACGTTCTACGATCTCAAGACTTAATTAACAAAGCAGAGGTTTTCTATTATTCCATGCGGAATGCATTTAAAGGTGGACTTATTTCAAGTAAAGGTAAGGAAATTAAATAAAATCAATAAATAAATAATTGAGTAAAATTAAAACCTCTAAATTTCTTAAAAGCAACTGAATGGGTCCATAACCGTAAGATGATAAATCCATCATTTTCAAATAAAGTATTGGTTAGTCTTTTTCCAATATTTAATAAATCTAAAAATAATCTAATAGGTAAATTTAGCGCGCTAGTGGATAACAAAAATCACAAAATATTAAATATGTTACAGACCTTGACTCTAGAAATAGCTATAGGTAAAAACGTATTACTAGTGACATTGCAACACTGACTGTAAGATTAATACTTTATTATCAGAAACGACGATGGGTAAGGTGATGCATAAAGGTGACGGGATGTCGAATAATTGGGCAGTTAAAGTTTCTTTGTAAGTTTCTCAAGTAATTATTTCAATACCCAACTATTTTATATATAATCGAACTTTATTAATGTGAATAGTGTGATGAAACTTACAATGATACAAACGTTGCTTTCATTTGTAAAACTTGATTCAATAATAAATTACTATATAAAATTCAGAAGAACGAAAGAGGAATTATACCAGTTCGTTTATGAGGTCAGTATTCTGTTCTTTTACATGGAATTTGTAAAAACTATTAATAAAATTTGTTAGTTAATTCGAAATAAGATTAGTACCAATACCAACAACAATTCAAACAACAATAATATAAATACTGAAGAAATTAATCCTAACAATATGGATATACTGAAATACCCAATTCCTTCAATACGGAAAGAACCAAAAATATTTATTGATCAAGCGATAAAATTATATGAAAATGAACAATTTACGTGGAATGATATAATAAGTGAATCAAATAATATAGTGGCAGCAGTGAGTTAATGTATTTTGCACATATAATTATATATAGTATTTATTATTATTATTATTAATTATTTTAGGCGTTTGAAACTACGGCAAATGCAATTTTCTCTACTCTTGTTATGTTGGCCATGCATCCAGATGTGCAACAACGCCTGTTTGAAGAAATTTTGGATGTATTTCCAGAGAAAGATTTTTATGTTGATTGCCATCAATTAACTCAGTTGCCATACTTAAATCGTGTTATTAATGAAACTCTTCGAATAGCCCCTTCTGTTCCCATAATAGGACGTCAAGTTGTTGAAGATACACAAATTGGCGAACATGTTTTTCCCAAAGATGTTCAAATATTAATTTCAATATATCATCTTCATCGACGGACTGATATTTGGGGTCCAAATGCGGATAAATTTGATCCAGAACATTTTTCAGTTGAACATTTTGGAGAAATGCAAAGAAATGCTTATATTCCGTTCTCTAAAGGTGTTCGAGGCTGTATTGGTAAGACGAGACAAATCTCTATCAAATGTTTGTTGTTTGGTTATAATTTTTGGATTTCAGGATCACGATATGCCATTTTTTCAATGAAAATTTTATTATGTGGACTTGTACGAAACTATGAATTTGAAACTGATTTTAAATTTGAGGACATCAGATATACCAGTAATATAGCACTAAAGTATATAGTTGAACCTGAATTAAAAATGTATAGACGTGCTTAAGTCCTTAAATTAATTTGGTTATAAATAATGAACTATTTGTAAATTTATGTTAAATGAATTAACCTCTTACGATACTGAGAGTAGTCTCGGACAATTAAAAATGTGACATTTACATATTGTATTTTGAGTGTTATATAAATAAATTAAAGTTTTAATTTTTTATATGATAAACCACTTATTACCTTATTATACTTTGGGATATGGAAAGTGGAAATCGCGACTTTTTTAATATTAAATGCATGGCTTGTTTAAGCATTTTTATTTTTATACCCTCTTAGTTTGCTTAATAATATACACAAAAATATTTATTAAATAAATAAATGATATTTGTCGTAATTAAACATTTTAAGGACTTGGCCGAAAGTATTACTCAGAATGAATGAAAAATGATTGGCACAGGCAATCGAGTAATAAATGATTCTCTTATAGTTTCATCTGCCATACACTACCTTCCGTAATGTAAGAAGTTCCTAAAAGCTTTCTGTCTTTTGTGGAAAGGCGGTTTAATTTGTCTTCTCTGTTTACATTTAAAAACTTCCATAAGTCCGTTAATTGCACCATATGTGAATGTGATATCGATATCAATGTGATTTTAATGACAATTTAGCTTTAAAGTCAGCTAAATTAGTTCAAATAAATTTAAAAATTAAATTAAATTAAATACATAATTAAAATAAATTAAGATTTTAATTTTTTTCATCAAAACGACCATTTAAAAATAATTTAATATGAATCAAAAATTTAATTTAAGTTTTAAAGCACTTTAGGTTAGTCGGCACTTTTTTGAATAATTTTACCATCATAAGTTTCAGCTCCCTTTTCCATCTGCCTGTGAAAAAGTGATAACTGTTTTTATTATTTTCAATTAAGATTCATCAAACCATCTCACCATTTACCATTAATATTGAAGTAAGTTAAAGCAACTTTGACTTGATATGACGCAGATAAATAAACAAAGGTACTGCGACTTTTCAAAAACGAGGCGATTTCAGTGGCTAAAGGCAATTGAAATATTGAATGATTGCCTTAAAGTCGTATTATTTATATCTGCCCGTGCGTATTATATTATATCCTTATTATTACGAGAAAAAATAAGGTAAAATATTATCAATCATTGTTAGAAAATTGCACCATCAGCGCTTCTAATTGTATTGATATTGGCTGCCATAAAAGTTTGCTTGAGAAAGCAAATTTAATAACAATATTAAGTATTTATTTAATATATTTACGCTGTACATAGCAATAAGAAAAATAAATACGTAAATGAATTAAACAATTTTATAATTCTGTTTTTGATATTTCTTATAAAGCCACATCAAATTTATTAACACATGTTTAATTCCTAATTAAAACTATCGAACTTAATCTCTAATAAATTTTAATTTATAATTAGGTCAATAATTGATGCAATTGCAGAATGAAGACACTTTTAAATATAATTCGGTGAAATACATACAAAAGACTATCCATGTTGTGATTTAAATGGGTAGCACTGTTTTAGTGATTATGTCTATAATTTATGATTTATCATTTAAAGTTGCATCATATGGCAGCCGCTAAAATTCTATCAGTGATGGTAAAAGTTTACTTTGGCGAAGAGACTCATTTTTCAACTGAGGAATATATCATAATTGACATATCTGGTGCAATCAAACTAGCTCCCGAAAGATCACTGCATCTACAAAAAGTCACTAGCATATGGTATGCGGTCTGATAATTCCGTACTCTTTTAAAAAGATGAGAATGTCATATAAAGCGTCAATTCCAATCACTATAACCATATGATTTTCACTTGAATTAAAGACAAGCTATAGAACAGGATCTATTTTGATGATGTGATTTAGTTACCAAAATCATACGATTTGTGTGAGCAAAGCCCAAACACTCATCGCATTTAAAATCAACATTTGTAAATTTCTAAATGGGGTGTTATCTATTATGTTCCGACAACTTACTGAAAAGTATTTCGGAATGATTCAGTATTTTGAAAATGTATGGTAAAATATATATAAATGTTAACGTTTCTTTACAATCTAATGATAAATAAGGGTCCAAATAATATATTGAAATAAAAACTTGATTAAATTCGCGTTGTACTTCTGACTTTGCTTTGCATTAGACCTTATAACCATATTGCATGGAATGCTTTACTAACAATTACTCGCGAAGTAATGTGTTATTCAAGCATTATTCCAGATAGTATTCCCTACCATATTGAAGATTTTCTACTTGGACAATTATGCTGCTCACATATATATTTAGTACATCTTATATGATTTAGTATATGTTTTCCTTATGCGATTAGAAACTAGTTTCAATTTGCGTACAATGAGTATGTAATATCTTGAATAAATCTGCAGTTTTGTTTCATAACTCTATCTATTCAGTCTATTATAAACAGCAGAATTGCCGAAGTAGGAAATTAAATTGTTAAATATTAAATCCAAAATAAAAAAAAGAATAATTTTTACTACATAAGAAAATATATTGAATAAAAAAGTTAGTCTTATTACAATCTCTTTAAGGGATGGCTTCGACTATGCTTTTCAAATAGCATCTGAATCCCTGAATCCTTTCTTGTAGTTTTTAGTAAACAACTTTTTAGTAAACAACTTATGAGTAAACAATTTTTTAGTACACAATCTTATCACCGTTATCAATAAATATTTGCAGAAGAAATAAAAGTAATGAATCTTTGTACTACGTATCTGAAATGGCAGTAAATGCTGTGCAACGTGCAGTTTATGTACTGAGAAAACTATTTACCATTTACGTGGAAATTTAAATTTTTTTTTGACTAATCCACATAGAACAGTTTTGTGTACCCACACTTTTATCACTTTTTATTAGCTTCTCTCAAGTAAAACTCAAATTTAATTCTGTGCAAAGTATTTGTATATAGTATAACAATTTTAAATATTGGAAATTTTTTATAGACATTTTTGTAACTACATTTTGTATATTTTTTTGTTTCATTTTTAAGTGCTATTAACTGGCAATTTTTTCTTATATTTTTATATTCAACTTCTCTGTATTATTATATGTTTGTGCTGTTAGTTGTTAATTTAATTCTTCCTACTCTTTTTTCTCATTTGAATGCTGATAGTAAACATTTCGGTAGTTATTTATTTTAATATATATAATCATATTAGAGCTACCTTAAGCACTGCGACGTGAGAAGACTTACTTCATAACAATCATCAATCGCAATAAGATGAGTTTAATAACAGGCGTGCATTAATTATAATGCATTTTATTCATGCATAGAGACATCTAGATACTTATCTGGTAATAAGATTATTGTCAATATCGGTCATAATTACTATAGTAAATTATATTTACAATTTTCCTTCTGCTACTACAATACTAGTAATGTTGTTAAAAATACATAAGTAAGTAATTAATTTCTTTTAATTATACTTAAGAGTAATTTAATTTATTTTTAAAAAATTAAGAAGTAACAATAAAGGAATCAGTCTATTCTATAATGTTAAGTATATCTTTTTAGTATAAATTAGCTTATCACATATTTTGTAATTGAAATAATTTACAATTTCTAACTTAATTGGTAATTAGGCAGTGTTAGCTAGCCAAGGTCATGCAAAAATACGTTAGATCCATATTGTAGTCAAATAACTGCCTTTAAGGACAGTAAGTGACAAAAAACATTCTATAAAAGTTCCGTACCACTTACAAATTTAACAAGATATTTGACTTCAGCATTAAAGATGAAGTTTTAAACACTAAAGAATCTTGTTAGACTTCTTAAGAAAGCCGGATAAAAACAGAATACATTCTTCAGAACTTTCTTTACTCTGGGTTTTTTATATTACCTAAAATCGACAGTGCTGATGATGTTTAGTTTCCTCAACAAGACGTCTTGTTAAAATATTAACTTGTGTTGGTTTCTTCGATGGCACGATAACATAGATTTGGTGTATTTCTATTGACTATATAACATTTTACTGGCAATTTTACAGTTAATTAAATTACTATACCATCCTTCTTAGTTCGCTTTCTTCAGTATGTATTCGTCTAGTTATCTGTATATATTGAGCAGGAATATCTTGCATATTTTGTACTCTGTAAGGTTAGCACCAAAAATTTAAAAACTTTATTGGAAGATTTTTAAATTTATTAGTTTCACTAAATGTCTAGATGAATTAAGTGCCATAGATTGAGATTCTTAATAAATAAATATTTGTATAATTCTAATTATTATCCCCTTCATTAACTCTTCTTCTAATAAAGAAAACGTCTGGATTGTCTGACATCTCTGATTTCGAAAACAATCGTTTATATGTGTAATTGGATTATTTAATTCATAACCAATTATACAGAAAGCAAATTCATATACAAAATGTATTTTATTTCATTTCAATAAATTTTATAAATATTAAATTAATTTGCAAAGTTACGAATTGCAAATGTTGAAAAGATTGTTTTGTCTTGGAGACTTTCTGTGTTCATGAAACAGAAGAAAGTTCACAAATAAGGATTGCAGTAGAATTGCAATATTGAATGACTTATCATGAATTTAAAATTATTATGTTTGAACTAAATATTATGCTGTACAGAACATATTGATCAAAAATCTAAAACAAGGTAAAAAGTTTTAGATACACAATAATAAATGAATAAGTTTGTGAAAACTCTTTATAGTAGCGCAACCGTGAAGAAAAACTAAATTGATATGCAATAATTTTTAGTTAGACATCTTTATGAATAATAAATTAAAATTATTTTAAAAATTATTTCAATTTTGTGTTTTCGTTACATTCTAAAAATTATAATAAAAGGTATACATGAATAAACTCTATGAAATAAATTCTCTATAAAATATATTCTATGTGCTTACGTATTTTTATAAATGCACACTCCTTATAGCCTTGTGTGTAGATGAGGTAGTATTTTCAATGAAAATTCTGTATGGAAGATATTTAATATTTTGCTCAAAGTTTTTTTTCGAAGGGAAAAAAAATATTTTTCACAAATATTCAAACAAAATAGTAGTCTATTGTAGAATAATAAATGTATTCATTCTATGCTGCACGGAATATTCAAATTTTTTTATTATTCGTTATCTAGAAAGCACATAATATAAGAGTTCCAGCAGATATTTTTGTATATTATTTTATTGTTCTTGAAACTAATCTATGTAAAATAATTTATTTTCACCTAACATAAGTTACAAATAAATGATTAGTTACATATTTTTGTAAAATGAGACTTATGCCGTTTACGAGTGGTAAATCTGGGGCAACTTTTTTAATCAAGATTTAATTTTAGTGATAGATTTATAACTATAGATTTATAATACTCTATATATTTTCCCAGAGTAGTTAGATTACTCTGAAATTAACAGCTGTATTATATGACTTGACAAATAATATGTGATTTGATTCAATATATGTATTTATGAAAAATATGAATGACTTCTAACGATAGAGTGTTCCATTGAGCAAGAAAATTAAAGAAATCGATAGAGAGTGAAGATTTCCCAATTGAAAGCACCATAAAAGAAAGTTAAGTTGCTAAATTCTATTAAAGTGTCAAGGTATCTTTTATCAACAATTCCATATACTCCAATATATATAATACAGAATTTTCGAATTTACTTTATTAAAACTTATGTACTCTTCCATAATAGTAAATTTAGGTAATCAAAAGCTTATGTACTCTTCTATAATAATAAATAGAGTTAATCAAAATAAATTCTCAAATCTAATAATTATTTTTTCTGATAAAAAAAAGATTTTAAATTTTGCAAACTTTAGTTACAAATGTATACATATTATATTTGAAAATGTTTAAGATTATGTATTATTCATATTATTAATTTATATTATTCTGCATCACATGCGTATGGTTACATAGAACGTACATAAATTACAGCTCGTTTTTTTCTTTATATAAATGTATCTATATAACTGACTTTTACACATATTACTAATTTTACTTTTAAATTTAAATTTTCCAAACTAAACAAACAAGCAGTATCTTTTATTATTTTTAGATAGTGTATTAGAGTTCTTATCTTTTATTGTAATTTTAATACCAGACCATATTCTTTTATAGCATGCACAGTCCAACAATCAAATTTCTATATTTACTCACTAAATCTACGTACTTTAGGAAGTAATCAACAAGTTCTCTCGAACTACAACAAGCAACACCAACTGGAACATTTTGGTTCAGCACATGCAACGCAAACATAGTTCAAATACTGCAAAGAAATATTTTGTTAGATGGTCTTACCAGTCACTCTCAGTATGTTGTGATAGTAATTATATAATGGAGTTACGGAAAGCTGAGTGCCGAAGATTTGTAGAAGATAGTAATGTGATAAAAAATTTTTTACTGCTTAACATTAAATGTTTGAGAATTATATATAACACTAAATTCAGAATATAAAATTTTTGTTGTAATCTAAATCTAATCTATATCTAAATTTTTTAAAATTAGAAATGAATACTAAAAGATACTAAATATACTTTTGAAAAACACATTAATAGTTCAGCTTTTCTTTTAAATTTATAAAGAAACACATTGGGAACAAAGTGACAAAAAATTCCATATATAGTCGGGTTTTTAATTATTGAGAATATATATATTTTGAAATATATAACGTATAATAAAACAATAATATTTATTATGTTATTTCATATAAACATACTTTTTGTTTGCACAAGAAAAGTTAGTGAAAATGTTAAATATTACTTATAATTATACTAATACTAAATATTTTAAAGTTGTGATATTTTCAAAAGTTAAAAACTTTTTTATATCGAACTAAATATTTAAAATCCGCATTGTCTTTAAAAGACAATATTTAATAGTTAATAGTTAATAAAAAAATTCTGACTCATATTATATTGTAGATAATTAAAAATAACTTTAAATGATATAAATTTTATATTTTTATCTAAGTAGAAATTTGTACAATATAACATCTGTTCAATATATATTAACTTAATAAATGTTTATTTTTCCTTTTCAAGAATTCTGCTATAAAACAAAGCTATGCTATATAATAAAATATTTATTATTTAATAAAAAAAAATTTATAATAAATAAAATTTATATTTTATAAATAAAATTTTTTGAAAATTTTTTTTTAATAAAAATAAGCTATAATCTCCTATTAAAAATATGTGGATTTCATGTTGTGAAATTTATCTTTAGTAACAATTCCACTTGTAAGCAACTGTTCACATCTTATAATTTTTCTTATATATAAATCCTTCTTCTTAAACATTAATTTTATTTATTTATTTGGATTATTATTAAGTAATGCATCAACACACCAACTAATCTACTACTATTTAATTTTTTTTTTTAATATCTATTTCATCTCTATTCAAATCAGCGAATTTTATTTTGATTAATTCGAATTATAATTATATTTATTTATAAACCCAATTACGCATAATACAAACACATTATTTAAATATAAAAATAAGTTTAAAATTACTTTAATTTAATTATGCTTTAGACTATATGCATAAATATTCCAAACTTTTATATAAATATTTAAATGCAAATAAACACAGATGGGTCATTAGGCACAATTTTCATTGTCCTTTTCACCTGTTGAATGAACATTGTTTACATATCCTTCACTTTCAATTTGCTCTTTTGCTTCTGTTTATTTTTTGTTTTATTTTGTCCTTCCATCTAATCCGTATCAGTTTAGCAATGGATTACAAATATTTACAATCACAACAAAGTACACAAATTAAAACAAGGACATTACTGTTGAGAGTGAACCTTGGATTAAAAAGGATTTCCGCATATCAAAACTCTGTGGTAAGTACAATTTATGTTATTTTTGCATTTAGTATCTTTCATCTGAATTTCCTTCGTTTACAGTAGTTCTATGACATCCAAATGAAAGCGAAAAGTATTTGCTGTTTACTAAATGATAAGCAATATGCCTCGGCCACTTTAAGATAAACTAACTGGACAGAGATTGGTTCAATTAATAAAATTTGAACAAAAAGGTTTGATTTAACATCCTTGGATATTATTGGAGATGATTAGTACTATTTTGACTTGAATATGTTGAGAGAGACATATCTAAGCTTACTAAATCAAGGATCAACTCTCAGTTAAGCTTTAAATTTACTTATATTAGAGCAAAAATGTCCAATTTCAATTGTCTATGGTAATATGGTTCTATATAATATTTTGCTAAAATTTTAAATAAATATATAATAATTTAATATAATTCTTTGGTGATAACAAATTTCATGAATTTCTTTGATAGTATAGAATTTTTATAATACATTTATAATACATAATACATCCATGCTGTTTCATTCTAAATTTTCTTTCATTCTTATAAGACTAATTTCGATTTAAGCCTTACTAATTCCTACAGCACTTATGAGTTATTGCTTTGTAGATTCTAATACAGAATTGCTATCTTTATAAATTATATTTGCTATTCATTTTCAATTGTGCATTTTACAGACTTCAACTTCTGTAGGTTGAAAGCCGCAGCAAAGGTACAAGTCAAAGGTGCGAAGTTGAACTGTTATAGACCAAAATCAGTATCAAAGTCGGAACTCATTTTTTTAAATTATATTTGCTTACCAAATTTTTAATATTTTTCATAGATAAAAAATTCAGCAAACTTATTTTTTGTTATTTAAAGTTAAACTATAAGTGTTGTTTTATATACAGTATAGCAAATATTTCATCAGTCGTTAATACAAGTACCAAGTAGTAAAACAACCTGTCTTCACCTAGACTGTTCTTTGTAGAAATATAGAAGAACGCAGCACAGTTAAGTAAATTATGCCACTAATTCAATATATTCGCGTTGATATATAATCATTTGTATATAATATATGATGACCATGACGAATTTCATGCATCCTTAAGCCCCTTCTGCAAAATATTTTTATTTTATTCTATTATTACCTTCTGTTTTGATTTCATTTTAATCTTTCCTAGTATCTGATATCCAGTTTTTGAAAATATTAATGATTATTACTATTCAAAGTGTATTACTACTAAATCCAAATCGTAATTAGAATTAGGTATGTTAGCTTGAAATCTAAACCACGAATGATATGTTAAGAGACCTTAGAATAAATCCGGTCAAAAAATATATAAGGGACAGAGTCATAAAACTATTCATGAAAACTGACAGACTAACTTACTTAGCACTATCTAATCTCAGAATAATCAGTTGCCGTTAGCAGATATTACATCAGTCATTGAATAATCGCGAAGCTTTTGAGTAATACATAAATTAGTCAGCGAGAAGGGTGGAACTCTACTCCAGCTATCGAAGAGTAAAAGTGCCCAATTTAACACTCTTAATTTTTATAATTTAATTCTTATTAAGCTCAAACCTTATAGTATATTATTATTTTTTATTTTGTATTGCACATAATTTCCATGCGCTCTACCTTCGTAAGTTAATTGACCTTGTCTGTAATTATATTCCTGATTACTAGCGCTACGTGGATATGTGTAAATTAATTTATATCGGTGTACTCGTTTAAACGCAGATATGTACTTATACCTATATATACATACAATTCTATACTCCATATTTTTACTAGTACACCCCTTTTAAATTGACTTTTTGGTGCAAAATATCAATGTTATTGATGATGTAAACACTAAACTACCTCACCGAACCAAATCTAAATTGCTTCTTTGTAGATACAAAAACAAAAACGAGCCTTTCGAAAATTTAGGGGATTTGTTCTTGTCATTTGTTGCTTTTCAATTTAAAATCTTTGGAGTAATTGACATACTGACATACTGACATACTGACACATTGACAGTGTTGTCGGTATTGTCGGTGGTTGGTTGGTAGCAGTGTGCTGTGTGGTAATGATTGTGTAATCTCTGGAAAAGTTGCTGCCTCTTTCGTTTCCCTAACCTTTACGGTGTTTTACACTTTGATTAGATTTTTGTGGATTTCGTTAGTTAATGGAGAAAAGTGTAATAGGGTTAAAACTATTTTTTTTCCGCTTTAGGTCTGTTAGTTGTTTAAGTATGTAAAATTAAAGTAAAAATAACATTTAAAGCTGATTTAATTAATTTTAAGTAGCTCTAGCGATTATAGGTATATGAAGTGACAGCAGTGTGTTTCGAAATAGTTTAACCTGTGAAGGAAGTTGAAAAACAGATTTAAAATTAAAAAAACATAAAATTTGTTCTACTTGGCTTAAACTGCCAAAGGAGTTAGATTAAATTTGTTGGCACTAAGTGCCACGAATACATCTCTAGATCCTGAGTGTTGTAACAGAAGTAAACTTTTAAATTAATTAAATGTTCACTTTTAGTCTTATTAGTTCATTTAGAAGTTAAAATAATTTAATTTAATAAAATGAAAACAAACAGAAAGTAAGAAAAAATTTAAAAGTAAAAGTCAGAAGTAAAAGTAAAGGGGTAAGTAAATAACTTTAAGAGCGAAGAATTAGAGAATTAAAACTTGTATAAACTAAAATCTTCTTTAAAAATTGTGGCTAAAAATCTATTAATTTTAGAATTATAAGGAAATACTCTGAAATTTTATCATAATTTAAAAGTTTTAATTTAAAGAAATTAAAAGTATTTACTGCTATATACTTAACTACAACCATAAATATGTCAAACATCGACAACAATTCCTCTGAAAATTTGAAATCAAAATATTTGAAAGTAAAGAACTTCCTATTATCATCAAAAATACTTGTAAAGCAGTAAATAATTTTTATAAAAAAACTATAAAGTATCTGAAAGCTATAGTGGTATAAATTTGTAGCTTGTAATCTGTGCGTTATATAAATTAAAATGAAAGTACTCTCTGCTCCGTTAAGTAGTCCTTCAGTCGCTTATAGAGCTAGAAAATATTTAAATAAAATGTCACAAATCTCTAGAGTATACAAATATCAAGAAAGATATAATTTATTTTAGTTTGCATTAAGTAAAGTTAAAGCAATTAAAGTTTGCATATATAAGTATGTATATCTATTCATTTATATTAGAAAAATTAAGCGAAATTATGTCTGTGGCATAGTAACTTTATAATGTGTTAATTTGACATAAATCTTGATAAGTTTTATTGCTATTTACATTGATTTATATCCAATAATATGAAATAATTTAACAACAGCTCTAGGGAGTAATTAATAAATAAGGGAATATTGTCAAATGATTTCTTAAGTTGTGTTTGTATGTATTATAAACAATCAATATTTAATTATTGTCAAATTAGATACACAAAGTTTCAAATGTTGACTTGTTATGAGGTTATTCTATTAAGGTAAATATCAGGAGTGCGAATATTTTTGAAGTCACTAAAACACTAAATTGACAGCAATCACTTGAGTAAACGTCAGGAAAATAATGAAAATATAACATAAAGTTAATATTAAAAGTTTGCTTAAGCTTCATAATTTATTTATTTAATTGTCTATTAAATTTGACAACAATTGTCTATTGGTGTTTGACAATGTAGAAAGTGTTGAGTAGATATTTAGAATTTTATCAATTAGTAAGAGCTCTGTTTTGGATTGTCTCGCTTGTCTGTGTTATAAAAAAATTATAAAAAAGTTTCATTCTTCTCTCTTTTTTTTGCACTAATTCATTTAGTATGTAAGAAGAATATTAATCAAACTGTAAAATATTTAATAATATTATTTTTTTGGTTGCAACCTATTTAGCACAGATAAAGGCCAACAGCATTTCATCATAAATTATTAAAATTATGACAATAAAAAATATAAAAAAATGTTTTGAAAAAAAATTTATACGAAAAAGACCCGATAGCATATCCGTTTTGTAAAGCATAATTGATTTTATTTAAGCAATTATTATGTCTTCCCATTCTATATATTTATGAATCCCTATTTTTGTTTGCTGGAACCTTTTGAAATTAAATTTATTTTGGCACAAACTTCTAACCACATTAAAACTTTTCTTTGCGGTATTTGGTTTGTATCTGCAAAATATTAACAATAGGCATTATTTACTTTACTTTCTCATTCTCATAATAATAAGTATTTACTTAACAAGCTAATAATTGGCCCTTAATAGTAAAGTGATTTTATGGCTTTTAAACTTTTTAATTAATCCCGCCTCTGTTAAATCGTTGTTTATAAACGTTTAACTTTGCCCTTCAGACTTGTGGTTATATTGTTCATAGCAAAATTATCTTAACTTTGTAATAAAAAAATTCACAAATCTTTTCAAAATAATAGAGATGCTAAATATCTTTAATTTAATTGAATTAATATATTTATTATGTTAATTCCAGTAAACTACAAAAATATTGTTTTTATTGGATAATAAGTTAAGTTAAATTTGATTATAACGTCAATATGATAGCGGTGACTTTTTTTATTTAATAGAAAGGTTTCGAACAGTACTAAATTACAACAACAAAATTATTTGAATTAATTGAATTTTTGCCTGACCATACACCTGACCATCTTGGAAATAATTCTTGTACCAGAATTTGAAGATGAGAATTAGCGCTTCTTAATTTAATATAGAATCATAATGGATGTAATATGAATTAAAAATAAACACCATTTTCAATATCGCTGACACGAACTGTAGAGTAACATTAGCATGGTTTTCTCCTTATTACAATTCTCGATTAGGTTCTATGAACAAAGAAAGAAATAAAGTTATGCAATAAATAATATCTCTACAAAAGAATAGTATTGAAATTTAACAAAGATAAAAATACAAATATATTTGATTAATTCATTTATTCTACAGCAAGCGAATTTGTTAATAAAACTTTCACAGCAATATAATAAAACTCCAGAAAATTTGCGAACATAAGAGTCAAGTACGGCTTTGGTTCAGTTAGTTAAGAAGCGCAGACTCTGAGCTTCAAATTTGGCAGGGCACGATTTCAATTCCTGATACTTCCAGTCTCAAAAAAATATTCACGAATACTTAAATACAAGAAATCATTCCAAACCACTGATGATGGGTGTTTGGCAATAGTCGAAAGAGCTGTATGATCAGTCAAAAATTCAATTAACTAGTTTACTACTATTCGAAACATCTCTATATTAAGATAAGTATTTATGACAAACTCTTAGTTTAAATATATATACACGTATATATACCATATGTATTGTAAGGTGATAATATATACTATACTATACTATACTATATATGTCATATGTATATAATCGCGATATTAAGCAAAGATATCATAAAGTTTTAGTTGATACTCACTAACTGAGTACTCTGCTTAGTGAAATATCTTGCATCATTAAAGCAAAACATTATAGAATATAGAATATATAATCTTAATTCCTTATATCGTATTATTCGTGCTTAAGTAAGCTTTAATCAACAAGGATATGACTACAACCAATCTTTATTTTAATTTCCATGGAACTCCTAACAATTTTAAAGCACCCATTAATACATGGCATTAATACACGTTTATATATTATTATATCTGTAAATTCTTCATAAAGCTCCAAGTCTCAAGTGTTTAAACAATTCTCCAAATCAAATATTTTAAAAAATCCCTGGCAACAGCATGAATTTAAAAAGATTCTTATTGCAAAGATTATTTTTCAGAACTTTTTGTATACAAAACCAAATAAACTTTACCTATTAACACTTTTTGACAGCCGCAAACTTTTTTTTGCCCGCAAACCAAAATATTTCTATTATAAAAAAATGTTAAAAAACTCTACAGTAAAAAGAGAGAAAAGGACTTGTGTCGACGAATTTAACTTAACCCGCCTCATGCCCACTCAAGTGTATAAAGCGCTACAGTGTAACTAGTGTAAATCGGAAATATTACTCATACCTAAAAAGAATGTTAAATATTTTTTCAATACGAAACATAAGCCAGAAAGCAGTGTCCATGGAAAAAAAATGTGAAAAAATAAAATGAGAAATGCAAGCGTTGATATTTTTATAAATATTCTTTATTAAAAAATATTGCAAATAAAAATCGTTTTTCGGATTGAAATAACAAAAGAGTTAGCATTTCATTAAAGTTTTAACTTCCGTATTGCAGTCCCAGCTGAACACTGCAATTTCAAGCTTTTTATTGCAGTTGATAAAGTATTTAAGTTACTGACATATTTTCATTGGAATAGTAGTTGTAGGTTTATATACATATATATATAAAAACATAATTAAGTTTATAAAAAAAATGTTTTATATTATTTGCAAAAGTTGAAAAAGACTTATCTTACAGAAAGATTATGCCAAAGTGTCTGACTAAGTCTTGAGTCTATCTAAGCTATCCGTCATGAATTTTATAATATGACAAAATAGTTTCTGTGCAGAAAAGAAGTAAAGCTCTTGTCATAATATTCTACGTAACTTACAAGTTATGAGCTCGAACACTTTTTAATTAATTTTATTTATATATATTGACAAAATATTATCTTTGCAGAAAAGGAGTCAAACTCTTGCTATTATACTCTATATAACTCTATAAAAAAACCTTCTATAAAAAGTTATAGAAGGTTTATAACACTGTTTATCAAATTATTGTTGCTGTTCATCAAATCTCAAACTTATTCTCAAACTTATTCTTTTCTGTTTTCACTAGATTTGTCACTTTCTTCCAACGGCTAGCCATTGTTGAGATTTTAAATTGGTTTCTTCAATTTTAGCGGTGGCTTTTATAATACTTATGATGCTTTTAAAACCACACTTGAAAAATTTTTATTAATGGCATCTTCACAGCCCATTCTGAATCATTATAACAACTTCTTAATTTATTTTACCTTATATCCTGCTTAAATATAATAATTATGTTTTTTTTATATTAGGTATATTTTTTTATTACCATTTATATGAACAATTTTTAAGGGATTATAGGAAATGAGTAGGAATCAAAAAGTTGGTAATAGTTCAGGAAGGAGCAATACTGTATTTTAAAAAGAAGAAAATTCTTATAGGTTTTTCGTTAATTGCAAAAACAATTTTTAAAAATCATTCTTGCTTTTATTCTTTTTATTGCTTTTGAAGTAGTAGTACCAGGCAGGATGTCGTTGAGAATGTTGTATGATATAGCAGCAATTAAATGAGTCCTTAAGATAATCCATAACATATGTCTTCACTTGTCAATAGGGAGTGTCGTCAAATAATCCTTCATTTTAGTGAAGTTAGTGAGTACCTGGTGCGGGAGCAACATTGATGGAAGCAACTGAGCTAATGTGGCTAGCCAATGGAGCAACATGTACAGCACCACGGGTCTTGGCGACGTAACCTCCTTTAGCAATACCAACACCAACACCAACAGCAGCAACTGGAGCAGCAACAGCAACTGGAGCAGCTACAGCAACTGGAGCAGCAACGGCAACTGGAGCAGCTATAGCAACACTTTTAGCAGCTACAACAGCTGGAGCAGCAACTACAGCTGGGGCAGCGGCTACAATGCCAGGACCTTGTGCCAAACCAATACCGGGAATGACTGCACCAACACCACCATGTCCGCTGCCACCCCACGCACCAGCGCCAGATCCACCACTACCACCCCACGCGCCAGCACCGGATCCTCCGTGACCACCCCAGCCAGCTCCAGAGCCACCCCAGCCAGCACCAGAGCCACCCCAGCCTGCGCCAGAGCCACCCCACGCACCGTGTAAACCAGCTTGTGCACCAAGAGCAAGAGCCAATACTACTGTAGCAATGACAAACTGAAAATAGATGATTTCTTATTATAGCCTCTATTTAGTTTGGTTAACTATTTTGGCATACTCACTTTCATTTTGATGTGTTTATTTTATTAGAAGGATTAAGAGTAAGAAAACGACACTCAGTGATGTTTAAAGAACACTTTTGACTTTGATACTGATTTCTAAATTGAAATATTACCGACTTTTATACAAGAAACTAATAATATAGTTTATATTAATAACAACATAAATGCATACATACTTACGTACATATTTAGATACATATAATATTAATATTTAAACGAGAACAAGAATGCTAATCGATAGTGAAATGAGATTTTACATACCATATCAAGAAATGGATTAATTAATTACTGTGCAAACAATCTTATTTGGTTTATGGACCTGTGCTGGCGTT